TGGCAGAAAAGGGGTACTACAGAAGACAGCTCTAGATTTTTTTTTTTTTAAGTCTTCCGCCTGGTGACATTATGCCCTGGGGTCCCTGCGTCAGTGGGAGGGGATCATCTATGCTTAAGAGAACAATGCTCACTTAATGACATGGGATCTCTTATCTGCAGCATTCTCCTGTCAGTCCAGGCAGCGTGAAGAGACACAAACCCTTTGGAGGTGTGCCCATGACAACCTGGGATCACAGGAAATGAGTTAAATGACATTGGGCGTCATTCAACCTGGAAGTCATATGAGCGGCCAGACAGCCATGGAACACAACAGGAGACACATGATTACAATCAAATAAAAAAGTATATATAAAGACAACACAGCACCCTTTGCTTTATTAATGTTTTATTTTCTTTAGTACAGAACAGTAGGAATGAAACAGAAAAGATTCGGCTTTTGTAAGAAAACTGGTTAAACTTCACTTCGGAGATCTTTTTGTTTGCAGTAGGAAAAATAACTGTAGTGTCACATCTGGATAATATGATCTAGACATTAGAGTTTTCTTCTGTCACATCTTCCTCATCGCTGAATTCAGTGAGTCATTTGTCAGTGAAGGTAAAGACTGCAGAAATGAAAGATAAATAATTAGGATATGACTTTAACCCTTTCACTGCCATGCCCCGCTCTCCATTCATGACCTCAGCTGGCCGGAAATTTTTTGCAATTTTTTATTTAAAAAAAATAATTCTTCACTTAAAGCTTTTAGAGTTTTAGAGCTCTTAAAGTCTCCCAAACCATATGTATTCTAAACGCACAGGACCGGCAGAATAACAAGGCAGTGCTCCTGATTTTGTAGGTCCTGCGATAGTTGCGCAAACGTTTATCAAAACAATGTTTTGGATTAAAAAAAAGTCCTTTAAATTGTAATTAGCGCACACAAACCCCCTTCCCCCATAATTTACAAGTTCCCGCTAAATGTAAAGAGAAAAGACTGTATCGAGTTTATAAATAACAAATATTTGTAAATTTTAATTGCGCCTTTTTGCAAAACTGTTTAAAATCAAATAAGTGCATAACTGTAAATAGGCAACATCCCAGATAGCAAGTAATTGAGCCGCAAGTTATGAAATGACTTGCTATACTATTGCAGACTTGCCAAGCTTCACAATTTTGTTGCACAATTACAGCAAGTCTGCATTGCAAGTCTCCAGACCAACGCGCTTTGCAGAAGTGCTGTACACTTGAAGAGCTCTTGCTAAGACCTGCAGGACTCTTGCTGTAGACTTGCCAAGCAAATTTGCTACAAATTCAAAAAGTGTCAACTAGAACTTGTGCTGCGAGTGTTCTGCAAGTCTACAACTTGCCAGGGAATGTGTGCAGCAAGTTAACAAAATTACAATTGAATCCTGCCACAAGTTTGTGCCAAATTATCCTTGCTGTATGGGATGCTAAAAAGCTGGAGGGCAGCCTCAAAACTATGCTTTGTGGTAAAGCCCGATCCAGGGTACTGTGCGCACGTAGTGTTAGTGTTCTTTCCGATAAAATGATCCAGGCATACATTTTATCTTAGTGCAGTGGGTTACAATGTGCGTCATTGTGTCACAATGTGCTGCCACATATAGCGTTGAATGTATTTTAAAAAAAGTTTAAAAAAAGAAAACAAAAATCAAGCACTGCGATGCATTGTGACAACCCACTGCAGCTCATGTGCACAATGCACACCAGCACACACATTATGCGTACCATAACACGTGTCTGCCCATTGCGTGAGTGAACACTGCAGTGCACCAACACACAAAATTTGAGTGTGCAATTAGTGTGTGTGTGGGGCGTTTAAGTCTAGGTTCACATCTATGCGCGGTGGTTGTCATGTGTTTTTATGTGCATTTACGTGCATTATGTTGGGGCGGCCCATTCATTTCAATGCACATGAAATTGCATCAAAAAGGTACATGTACTTTACAAAAAAACAAACAAACCAAAAAAACCACACAGGGCACCACAATGCATGGTAATATGTTGCAATGCACTGTGGTGTGCTGCAACACGTGTGTTTGCAAGGTGCTTTGGGGTGCCATTAACAATGAATGGCACAGCAGCACACCAACATGCATTTTCATGTGCTGCAGCAATGTGCACAATGTTGCGGGCATTCCCAGATTGCACAGATGGGAACTGGGAATTATTTCTCTTTTTTTTTAAATCATTTTTTTTGTATTTATTTTATTTTGAAAATAATATTGTAATTGTATTTATTTACTTTTGTTGCTTTAGTGAAAGAGAACCCCAATATTTCCCTTTTGGTCATTTCCATCAGTGGACGGTCCTTGCAAATGCAGAGGGGAAGCGGATATGATGAATTCAGCATGGCTCTCTTCATCAATACACAGTGAATGTAGGGTGCAATGGTGATGCCCCCTTAAGGGTCAGGTCCATGATGCCCTGCACTTACAGTAATGTTCTCAGTCTTCTGAGTTAGGTGATGCTGGGTGTCAAAGACATAGAACATTTTGTGGCGCTACAGAAATACTGCAGAGGACAGCTCCAACCTAACATGTATTTCCATTTTTGCAGCCGAAGATTTAGAAATGTCTGCTTTAGTGATTTACACTTACATAAAAATCCTACCTAGCTTCCTCCTATGTAATGTTAAGGAGGGGGCTGTGGGAAGCGGTTTACTCGAATTAACCCCGTCTAAAGCTGAACCTGCACAGGGCAAGCAAATGCATGCGCTTGATGGCTGTAACTGGGGGTTACTACCAGGATCTATATTATCCGGCCTGTCACCCAGCTAGAAATCTGCTTGAAGAAAGAAACAAAATAACTTAGGATTTCCTAGTGGAAAACTCGAAGGCCTCATTCACACGGGTGTGCACATCCATGCAGCGTGCCTGCCCGAGCAGAGACTTCCTCGCAGGAGGGACAGGTGCCGCCAGTAATTGCATGTAGCCACCTGTACCTCCCTATTACAGGACACGGCTGCACACGAACCGGCACAAGTGTGCGCACACTTGGATGCACGCAATTACAGGCTGCACTTGTCCCTCCTTGGAGCAGGTCTCTGCACGGGCATGCACACCAAACGGATGTGCATCCCCACGTGAATGAGGCCTTAAGGTGCCCATACACTGCATGATTCTCGTATGAACTAGAGCCCAAAATACCATTGGAATACATTGCACGCAGTTTTGATCCGGTCCGTAACTGCCCTGCTCCCGGAACGCGCTTGGTGTGAACAAGCTTTAGAGGTTAGTTTTCTTTTTTTCATTGCGGTCTGCATTCCTTTTGAAAAGATTTGCCCAGTCTTTGTGATGGCTGCCACCCAAAGCTTGTAACCTCTCACCCACCCCATCCGAAACAAAAATAAATACTTTGGCTAGAGTTCCACATTAAGTTACCCCTGGTCTAGGTCAAGGAAAAACAGTATCGGCTCACAGTGCACAAAACAAACACCAGGATAAGAATACAGATTTTTTTAAAAGTGAGTTATTGGCAGCTGTGTCCAATCAGATTTGAAATGACAGTCACATGGCTAAGGTAAAGAGTCTTATCCTTGTGTTAAAGCATAATGAGCTGATCCTTATGTGTGAAGCTGGTGACACACTGCATGCAAAGTCGTGCGGAGCAAAGCAAAGCTGTGAGGCACGGACGTTCCAATGCAGCATGTGAGCTGAGGGCGGCCAGATAAAAGACTGCATCTTCAGCCAATCGGCTTGCGCATAACAACCGAATGTACTTCACATCCCGACACGCGGGTTTATACGCGCAAGCCGATTAGCTGAAGATAACATTTTTCATCTCGGCACGCTCAGGTATGCAAGCTCTCGCAAGCTGACGCACCAGAGCGAAAATGACATTAACCCCTTCGTGACTGACGACGTACAGTGTACGTCGCCAGCATCGGGCCTGTTTAAACAGACTCCCGGTGACTTTTGCCGCCGGGACTCTGTTTAAACTTGTAGAGCCGACTGTCGGCTTTACAACAGAAGCGATCCTGGCGACTTACCTGTCGCCAGATCGCTTCTGCGTCCCCAGTGTCACCTTTACCCCCAGTGTAAAGGTGACACTGGGGGTCTTTTGGACCCCCAGCATCACCTTAAAGAGGACCTGTCACCACCATCTGCTATTACATGGGGGGGCTTGCAAGCCCCCCCATGTGATAGCAGTCAAAGTAAATAAAAAAAAAAAAAAAAACAGTTTTTAAAATTAAAATGAAATAAAATAAATCTAATAATAATAAAAAAAAAATGTAAAAGTCCCCCGCCCCCGCGAGCACGCGCGTCGCCACGTAAACACGTGTCGGGTGCGCCTACGTATGAAAACGACGAACGCGCTACACATGTTGGGTATCGCCGCGCACGCCGGAGTGAGAGCAATAATTCTAGGGCCAGTATTTTGGGGTATCTCTAAATTGATGACCTGTGGGGGCTTTTAAAGCGTCTTCTATGGACTTTTTGGGGTACTGGGGTTTTTCGCCGTTTTACGGATGCACGCAATTTGTAACTTGGGCATGTTGGGTATCGTTTTACTCGTTGTAACCTCATCTTTTATATTTCATTAAAAAAATTGGTATTTTGTTGTGTTTTGGGGCATTTAATTAAATTTTTCACTAAATATTGGGGGTTAATAAGGAGTTGCGCTAATATTGCGCAACATAAAAATTTGCAACTACCACCATTTTATTCTATAGGGTCTTGGCATTCAGAAAATATATAATGTTGGGGGGTTTTAAGTAATTTTCAGGCCTAAAATGTGGAATATAACATGGGTACAAAAAATGAAAAAAAGGCCTCAGTCATGAAGGGGTTAAACACGTCTAGGCGAAGTTCCGCGCACCACTGCTCAGCGCTGCTTCATGGGCAGTGTGTCACAGGCTTTATTCTGCTCCATGCTGGGTCTTACTGGAGACCCACTGCTTGGCTAAGGCTGCCATCTGATGAACTTCTTTTCCTGGGACCATGTTGTACGCAATGCTAATGATTAGGATTTGTGTGGTGGCTACATCTTTTCTTACCTTCTTATACTTTCACTTTAGTCACGGACTGGAACGAATCTGTAGAACACCAAATACATTCAGTTATTCATCTATTGTGAAGAAGAAGCATTTCTAATTTACTTATTAATGTGTCAATTTCCCTCTTGAACCTCTTGATAATCAACAGATAAAACTCCCGTGTAATGTATAATGCAGTTCTTATACGGACCCCTCTCCAGAGTTCACATTTATTCTGTAAGGTGAAAGATGGGCACTTCACGGATTATTCTGTTATTGCTCCAACGTAGACAACACATTACTATAGTAGATCCGTGCTTCTGTGTGATTTTTAAGACTCCATTCACACTGAGCTACATCAATAAAATAATTTTCAGCGCTGAGCGACATTGAGTTACATTGAGCCACAATGCACATTTTGTCACGTAGCGCTTCTTTTGGCAGTCTATCAAAGCCTATTGGGGCCAAATCGCACAAAATCCACTGGAAAAATAGGTCATGTTTGAGCGACAAGCTTTAGCTACAAGCTACAGGCGACATTGAGCTGTCAGATGTGAACTGCTCTATTTAAATGCATTGGACGAGCTACATTGAGCGATTTGTGAGCAATATTTGAGCGTTTTTTGAGCTGAAATCGTGCTACACATCGCTTAGTGTGAATGCGGTCTATAGGATAACTGTACGTACAGAAAAAAAAACAAAAAAAACATGGATGCACAGGCAGTCTGTATGTTAACAATCTAGCTATCTATCTAGAATTGAATTTAATCAGAAAGCCTACTTTCAACTGGTCAGACCATCTTGGGTCTGTGAATCCTCTGGTTCCTCTAATAGTCTTGCAAGTGATGGGCAGTACATTACAGAGGAAGATGGTATGGTGAGCCTGGTGTCAGGCATAATAGGGAATGTATTAATGCATCGGGATACTTTTCACTTGGACACACTTGGACATCTTCATGAGGTTTGCCAGGTCATAGAAGGCAAACACTAAATCACTGAATCCCATCAGAAGTGAGCTGCAGTTCATAAAAAGTGTAGACAACCTGGCAGACAAATTATGAACCAGCAGAATGAAAGGGAAAATGATAAGGGCGCTTATTCAATACAAATCATTATAAATGAGCATGAAAACCAAAAACCTAAAGAGATTAGCAGCTTTATATTTTCATTATCAGAAGTTAGAAGGGGGAATTGGATACATCCACAGACAATGCTATAAAAAGAGGTACCAACAGAAAGCACACCTGATAGCAATGATTGAAGAACATACTTACCATCATCCACCTCCAAGCTGATCTCCTTCATCTTGTCATTGAAGAGACCTGGGATCTCCACCCGGCAACAGTAGGTCCCTTCATCTTCCTTAGAGAGGCCAATGATAGAGAGCGACACGTCCCCATGCTGAAGGTTCCCCTTCAGACGGTATCTGCCAGACTCCGTCCAGGTTACCTCTTCACCGTCAGTCCACACAAGGGTGTCTGTACATTTATAAGTAGGGCAGCTGCCTTTTCCCCAGCACATCTTAGTAGTACCTTCACTGACGTCGTATGAACAGGGCAACTTCACCATGTCGCCCTTTACTCCCGTCACACGATCCGCTGTAAATATTGAGAAGAAACATGTACATTAATTCCCAACCTCACCCAGCTACTAAAGCCTTTATAAGGCAGGGGGTTGGTGTGAGGAAGCAGACTCTTATTCTCCTTGCTGGATGTTTACCAATTTTGCATGACACTCCAAAGACATGCTGGAAGGTAAATTGGCTCCTGTCTAAATTGGCCCCTCTATGTATGCATGTGAGATAGGGACCTTAGATTGTAAGCTCCTTGAGGGCAGGGACTGATGTGAATGTGCAACTCTGTAAAGTGCTGCGTAAAATTGTTAGCGCCATTTACATACTTGTAATAAATAAATAAAATAAATTTACTGTTGTGAATCTCAAGGCGGACTTCCTTCTTTATATCATTGAATGCTCCTGGGACTCTCACTCTGCAGCAGTACACTCCACCATCGTTCTCGTTAACTTTGTTAATGGTCAGCGATACGTTCCCCTTCGATATGTTTTCCTTTAGATGGTATCTGTTTGATTCTCTCCAGGTTATCGCATCCTCATCTGTTTTAAGAACCTCATCATGGCAGCGAAGTATTCCACAGTGTCCTCGTCCCCAGCACACCTGACGTGTACCGTCATCAGTGGCGTAAGAGCAGGGCAGCGTTAAGTCCTCACCCAGCGATCCCCTCACCAGATTCACTGTGAATGTGAAGAAGGATGATGTATTAAAAAGGCATGCTACAATCAAATTCAAACACTTAGCATAGCAATGCTTACAAGGGATGTGACCTAGCTGACCAGAGTGACATCTCGGGCATAGCAGGCAACTCTCCTGTGTCATTTTTGGGGGTTAGTACCTAACCATTCTGGGAACACTTAATCCCAAGACTGTCATTTTACATGTCAGGTATTCTTAGCTCTGCCCATTCTTCAAACTTGTAGGGACTTATTTACCAATTTGTCTTACATAAAACACAGTTAGCTTTGTCTTAGCAGTCTGGAAGATTTAAAGCTTCAAATATTAACCCATAAATGAAAGTTTAAATCTCATTGGTTGCTGAAGGAAAAATGGTGACACATTAATAAAAATGGGTCATGTAACTCGCTCTCAAGTCCCAAGATCGTCCGGGTGCTAGACATTGATAACTTTTTTTCCTATGGGTATCTGTTGGAATAATTTTGCCATGCAAAGGGTGATCCTCCATAGATAGTACACCAGTCGTGATCAACTTATAGGGGGCATCAAATGCGGTCCCTGACATCAACAAAGAGCAGCACATAAAATCTTAGAGGGAAAAGAAAATAATAAAAAAGAATGAACAGCACAGATAAAGTAAGGAAGCGTGAAATAAATCATTCAAGTGAGTTAGCTGGTAGAATACAGATTAATGACATTTCCTTCACTGTACTTAGGCCCGGATTCCCCACAAGGCCACCGAGGCCCAGCCCCGGAGCGGCAGGGCGCAGAGGAGCGGCAGCGGTGTCCTTGTGGGGAAGTTGCCCTCTACATTCAGTCCTGCTTTGTACAAGCAGGATTAAATGTAGAGTGAGGCAGCCGATATTTCCTTTACATGTGAACTCAGCCTTCTCCCCTCCCCCCTGCACTTACCTCTCTTCTCTGGTTCCGCCCTCCGGGCTCTGCCGCCGAGTCCGTCTCCTCACTGCAGTGAGCGGCAGGGTTAAAAGTAACCCTGCCGCTCCGTGTAGACTGTAGACAGTGAGAGGGGAGAGCTGTGCTCTTCCTCTCTCACCTGTCACAGGAGTTCCAGCACAGTGCTGTGCTAGAACTCCTGTATTGGAGGTGACAGGGTCAATAAAGAGAACCTGTCACCTCCAATTGCTATCACACAGGGGATTGTTTTCTCCTGTGTGATAGCAATAAAGTTAGGTGAAAACAAAATTGATTTAAAAAAAATAAAAATAAAAAAAAGAATCTGAAATAATTAAATAAAAAAATTAAAAGGTGATTAAAAAGTAAAAAATAATAAGAAACAAATTATTAAAAAATTAGAAAATAATTATAAAAAATAAACAATAAGATAAAAAAATTATAAAAAGTAAATATGATAAATAAAAATCTAAAAAACATTAAATTGATAAAAAAAATAATTAAATAATAAAAAAAAAGAAATAATGAAATAAAAAAAATAAAAAATGATAAAAAAGTAAAAAAATAAATAAAGAAACAGTAAACAAAATTGACACTAACCCCGCCGCCCTGCCATCTGGTTGCAATTCACCATTGATGGGAAGGGGGGGCGCATTGCAGAACCTGGCTTTGGGGCGGCAGGGAGAGTAAATCCGGCCCTGACTGTACTTCTCTAAGCACCAAGGCTAGTAAAATACTGACTACAGCCTGATGGGGCCCAAGGGTTGCACACTAGGTACCAAAGTGCCATGTGTTGGACAGCAGGGCCATATATCATCCAAATAAAAACACTTAAGGTCCTAAAGTTGAACTGCAGCCAAGACTCAATTGGCTAGACTTTCCCCTATTCTGTCCCCTAGGGAAAGAGGAGCACTTAACCCTTGTTGGGGGGTAGCCCCACTCTATGGAAAAAGATTAAAGTTCTTCTTTAATCTACAGCTTTCACCATTTAGCCTTTATATTATATAATGTAGTAACATGGAGCAGATAGGACATTACCATAATACCACCATATGACTATCAGGAGAAGACCATACACCCGGTAAAACCAATACCAGTATAACTGTTCTGACAAATTTGAGCTTTTCTTTGGACCTGAATTACTGACTTAGCCAGGATGTTCTTCAACCCGGAATGTTAATATTATTCTAGGTGGGCATCCATAGTTGGCCACCTTCCAGGAAATTGCCTGAATAATGTTTTCCTTTATATTATTTATATCATTTTTAAAACTTCAGGCCTTTATCCAATAAACACCGGTGAATGATGTCTTGCATTTGTTAAAGGTCCTGGAATGTATTTTAAGTGCATCTAGCATGAGTACCTCAATATAATCTGATTATCAATATTCCCTGTACAGGAGTAGAAGATGGAGAGGGAGTGACAATAGTTGTGGCTAAGCAGGTGACCTGATTCACATTTGCCGACAATGAACATGCTGGCAGGTGAAGAGAACAGAGAGGTGACCCCAGCAGTCTGTTCCTGCTCCTTCACTGTCCAGTCACAGCCTGAGATGCATTAACCCCTTCATGACTGAGCTTGTTTTTGGTTTCTGTTCGTAAATGACTGACACACTTTTGACATTTTTGCTGTGTGATTCTTCCACGTCAGTAATATACTTTCTTACAAAGTGCACCCACACATATTATATATTGTAGATCACCAGGCTGGCTGTGGTAAGGCTGAGTAAATCGCAGAAGTAGATGGATAGATATAGGAATCCCTTGGCAGATAATGCAGCTCCCAAACTCCCAAATCAGTTTTACCGATTTTAATAATTTTTATATTATTATGATTTACATGTTATTAGGTTACCTATGCTGTGAACAGTATATGTTTACCAACAAGTATTAAGCTATTTAGTATTGTAACTTCAATATGGTGAATGGGTCAGTTTTTGCTAGTTATAAGTAATAGCATAAATACCATCCTGAACTGCCAGTTGGATATCCTTCTTCAAGTCATTGAACGGTCCTGGGACCTCCACCCTGCAGCAGTATGTCCCTTCATCGTCCTTGAACACGCCATTTAATGTCAGTGACACATCCCCTGATGAAATATTTCCTCGTAATTCATATCGTTTTGAGTCACTCCAGGTCACTTGGTCTCCGTCAGTACTGAGGATCTTATTGGGGCATCCTGTGAGCCCACAGCTGCCTCGCCCCCAGCACATGGGACTCTTTCCTTCTGTAGTGGAGTACTTGCAGGGTAAACTCAATATACTATCCACTGGTCCCCGCACAAGATTGTCCTGTAAAGCTGGAAAACAGCAGAAGAAATTGTCAGACATATGCTGTCAGAACATTAGTCATGCTGATTGGAACAATGACCTTTAGGAAAAATCTTAGATGGGTGACTTTTGTGGCAGATTCACCATTTAATTTTGATTGACATTGAGATACTTAGAGATTGCCGATATAATCAAAGTTAATATGACACTAAACTCAGGAGTTAAATCTTAAAAATACAGTCAAATACCTTTACTATTAACAATACTGGACCTTATTTGTGTATCACTCGGCTGTAGATCCTCAAATCATCTCTGAATTGGTGCCGACACTGTCCTTCCTTCTGGAAGGCGGCTACTTTTGTTCTCCATGGTCCCTGTGTGTTGTAAAGTAGCCACTGCTCCAAGCTCGCTCATGTGATGGACTACAATCTGAAGACAGTCCATCATGGAGCAAGCTTGGTGCGGTGGCTACTTTACAACACACACAGGGACCATGGGAAACATAAGTAGCCACCCTCCAGAAGGAAGGATAGGAAGGACATTTGAGGATCTACAGCTAAGTGATACACAAGTCTGATATGGTAAGTCAGGCACACTGAGTTCAGAAGGGGAGTGCTAACACAATGCCAATCATCCAACAAGGAGAATTAAACACAAATGGCCAGCCAATCAACAGAGCATTCTCAGCACAATGTCTGCCATTGAGCAGTAGGGAATTAGACTGCATTATGTGCTATTATCTGCTGGATGACCTAGAGCAGGTCTTTAGACAAGAGGTGCGCTGAATGTTTTATTTAGTAGTGATATGCTGGGGGAAGGGGAACTGATGTACATATTTACACAAAGAATTTAACAAGAATCACAGCTTTGCATTTTCTCATCTCTCAGGCACATGTTAATATGTTGCAGGGCCATTCATTTTGATGGGGAGCCCAATGTACTAAAGCAACACTAGTGTGTTGCAATGTGTTTCAACTCAGGGTAATGTACTACTGTGCATTGCCGTGTGTTGCATTCCCAAAAAAGGGCCACGTTTGGTTACCTGTGCGCTGGGGTACATTGCAATGTGCAATGATGTAACTTATGTTTACACACAGTAAACGTAAGTTCCGGTCCAGTCCGGTGCGATCAAAATGCTGCAAGCACTATTTTGATCGCACCGGACCGCAGGCACAATATGTGCCTTGTGATCCCGTGCGGGTGATCGCAATGCGAGGCAGTGTGTTCGGGCCAGAACGCACTGCAAGTGGTGTGAACGGGCCCTTATTGTCACATTTATAGATTTCTATCTGTATAGAGAGGACTGCAGTATGCTGAGAATGGTTTGGTGTGAATGCTGTGTAACATGGTTATTCATTTAGACATAGGTATTGCTGGCATGTGTAGTCCTCTGGACCCCTGGCGAGACACCACATAGCCTTCCTGAAAGCCTGCACAGCCCACCCGAGAGCCCGCGGAGTCCCCACCCGAGAGCCCGCACAAGCCACCTGAGAACCTGAGGCATCAGGACGCCACCCCAGAACAACACAAAGTATGTAGCCGCATATTATTTCGTATTGCTGGGATTTGTAGTCCTCTGAAGACAGTCTCCTTACTCTTTCTCCTGACTGCCTATTCGCCCCACCCAAACCCCCTCCCGGCCGCACGTGGCGCTGGAGTGTTCGGGTTTCACCCGAAGAAAATGTGGCAACCCTAATTGTCACAGTCAGGCCTGCCAAAAGTCCTCTTTCACAGGGGCGCCAAGCTCTACAAACCCATGTTAGGTCTGTGGGGAGTCAGATGTTAGCGCACGTGTCCTTTAACATTCAATTATCTCTGAATTATCATGATCAGGTCCGCCAAAATGGATCTGTGTTCTGGTTTTTTCCCCCCAGACATTTCTATGATGCAATGATGGCCATTTAAAATAAACTCCAAGTTACTTACCATGTTGGATCTCCACGTGTATCTCCCTCTTCAGGTCGTAATCTTCGGTCTTTATTCGGCAACAGTAAGTGCCACTGTCATCCAAGGTGACATCGGCGACTTTCAGGGACGCAGAACCTTCTGCCACGTCCTCTTTCAGCTGGTATCTTTCCAATTTCATCCAGGGTACTTTGCCGGCCTCCACTTTCACGATGGGGCTGTTACAGCCAAAGGCCGAGCAGGTGCCCCTTCCCCAACATAAGTTGTTTGGGTTTTTGCTGCCTGGGATTCCGCAGGGCAATACCAAAGTGTCGCCCACTATCCCGGTCACACGATATGCTGATATCAGGGCTGTATATGTAGAAGAAAGAAACTAATTAGTACAAGTAAGGGATCGGCTCCTAAAAGAGGGCCTGTCAATTTTAAAGTCTAACTACCTACGGTAAAAGGGAAAAAAAACTGTCTGAAGAGTAGGAAAGAGTTACATTTTCAAGCAGTTTTTTTTCTCTGTCTGTGACCCCATTAGGGAGATTCCCCCCACCTCACCTACTGTCCCCGTGACTACAGTTGTAACTGGGGCAGAAAGGCGGGTATAAGAATAAAAACATTGTCAGAAGTTCTAACCCTTCCTCACGCTACTAAAAACGTTTTTTGTCTCTGTCCCAGTTGAGGAGATTGACCATCACTTTATCAACCAATCTTCTCTGTAGGGGAACAGACAATAACAAAAACCTGATAGAGGTTCCAATGCTTCCCCACTGTTTCTATCTAAAATACATAAAAAGCAGTGACTAGAGCTGATCTTTAAATGAATACAAATAATAATTCAGCCTGATGCAAGTTGTGACATTTGCTAATAGATTTCATTTGCTCCAAATGGCTCATTGATGTTCACCTATTTCAGCCTTACTTGTAAGGGTTTATTCACACCGCGTGTTGTGCGCATAACACGTTTACGCTGTGTATGCGTGCTAACATGCACTGCAGCGCGGTTACTCTGCATTAAAGTGTTTTCTTTTTTCCCCTTTTAACTTCTATTAAATGTCAGGAAATTATATATATATATCTATATCTATATTTGCTACTCTGCTCCATCTAGTGGCCATAATGCTGTATTTTCTGAATACATCCAACCTGAAAAGAACATACAGTATACTAAGAATGCTTGTTTCTGCTGTATGTGCCCAGAACAAACGTTCACAAAGATTTGCAGGGTGAATGGCTCTGCAAATTGTTTCTAAATAGTACAAAAGCAAAAATGTCCCTGCACACTTACCAGCTAGACCTCGTCAAGGTCCCTTAGTGTAGTGCTGTCCTAACTCTAATCTATGAGCGCCTCCATCTTGGAGCTTATATAACAAAGGATTCATTGGGTGCAGATAGAGACCTTAGATTGTAAGCTCCCTCAGGGCAGGGACTGATGTGAATGTGCAGTATGTAAAGCATTGCATAAATTGTCAGCACTATTGGCCCAACCATTTTCAGACTTTGACAAAAATCAAATGAGGTCACAGGGGGGCACACACTGCTCAAATATCAGCAAATTCAAGCAGGGTTTGGCATATACCTAAGCAATAATGTACACATCTATTTGACAGTGTATGTTATGTTGCTGCATTCCATGTTACCAGTCATTGTAGGCTAAGGCCTCATTCACACGAGAAAAGGCCGGCACGGCCGTATCGGTCCGGCTCCCGGGATCACTATCTCTTTATAGTTCTGTCCTTCTCTATGGGAGGATGCGGCCATATGCCACCCTACGCTCACCTGCCCTGCACGTCCGTGCAGGTGTCCGTACTTGTACCCTGACAGAATGGATCCTGTCTGCGTCCGAGCAGGGACACCCGTACGGACCTGCACTTGGGGTGAGTGTAGGGCGGCGTATGGCCGTGTACTCCCATAGAGAAGGATGAGGGCTGCATACTAATCAGACGCAGCACCTGTCCTTACAAGGAGCTGCCCGATACGGCCGTGCAGGCAGGACGGAGCTGTACGTGCCGGCCTTTTCTTGTGTTTAATGAGGCCTTAGCTTACAATGGCTGGTAACATGGAATGCAGCAACATAACATACACTGTCAAATCGATGTGTACATTATTGCATAGGTATTCATACTTTTATTACTTAGTGTCAGTGGCGTAACAATCACCATCGATTGTTGGGTCGCTATGGCATCTGGCTCGGACAGCCAGGCTGCTGGCTGTCACTGGCGGCTGTGAGGAGGAACGCTCCGTTCCTTCTCACAGCCGCTGCTGAGTCGGTGACAACCAGCAGCTTCGGAGGAGGTGGCTGGGCCCGTCATCGGCAGCAATATAGGAGGCGGGAGGGCCCGGCGATCGAGGAGGCGGGGTCCAGTGACGGAGGAGTCGATCGTGGAGGAGAAGGAGGCGGACAGAGGATCAGGGCTGACAGGTAAAAGGGCTTGACCGCCCGCCTGAGACACTGCAGAGCCCACCATAGATAGTCTATGGTGGGCTCTGCAGGGTCACCCTCAAGTGGGCTGTTTGGGTTATCAGGTGGGCGTAACTAGAAATCACAGGGCCCCATACAAAATTTTGCTATGGGGTCCTGTGATTTCTAGTTACGCCCCTGCTTAGCGTAAACATACAGTGAGAAAAATACGGGCTCTGCCATGGCTAATCTCTTGTTGCCTGGCTGGTTTGGTGATCCTGTGGTTTCAGCACTCTCTTAACCACTGACCTGGAACAAGTGGACAGATTAGGAAAGTCAAAGAAAAGTTGCAAGTCTTTATCTTCTTCTTCTGGGTTAATGACTCAAAGTTTGGAAGAAAAGGAGGTCAGTATGATAGCCAGGCAACTAGAATTTAAAGGAAGAATCAACAACGGCAGCCTTCGTGTTTTCTCTTATTGGGTTTTCTTTAGGCCCCCTCTGCAGTGCATTACTACATGCGCTTTAATATGCCGTACCACAGGGGTAGAGGTCTTTATGGGCCCTCAATGTTATTAGCCGCTGTTTTTTATAAAATGATACAGACGGTCACCAGCACTTCACATTGTTTTATAATGGGAGAATTGAGGGTCACGATAAATGTTACAAGGCCGACATTTGGAGGCCTCGTTTGGTCACTTTTGCTG